TTTCAGACCAAGAGAAGATCTGACGTCAACTCAAGAGGAAGCAGATACTAGACTTCGTCTTGACGCATCTCATGCAGCAAGGAATGGTTTCAAGGCTGTTGTTATAATTATCGTCAGAAGATACCGATGTATTTGCACTTTGCCTGGCATTTAAGGACTTTGTTCCAGCTACCGTGTATTTGAAATGCAGTACACAGACTCGAACAAGGTTTATCAGCATCACAAATGTCTTCGAACGTCATGGTTCTAGGATTTGCGAATGTCTTCCTGGTCTGCATGCTTTCACTGGATGTGATAGTGTCAGCGCATTTTCTGGAAAAGGAAAACTGGCGGCGTTAAAGTTAGTAAAGCGACGTCCTGTATACCAAGAGTTATTCCAACAGCTTGGCGTGGAATGGGAATTATCGAATGAGCTATTTGTGCGTCTCCAAGAGTTCATGTGCCTGATGTACTCTTCAAATCCTGGAACTAAGGATGTTAACGTGTTGCGTTACCGTCTCTTCTGCGCCAGGAAAGGAGAGTTACAATTGCACCAGCTTCCTCCATGCTAGGACGCGTTACGAAAGCATTGTGAGAGAGCAAACTATCAGTCAGCAATATGGCGCAGGAGTCTTCAAAGTTCACCCCAAATCCCCTTGCCCATTGGCTCTGGATGGTGTTTAAAGGATGGCAAGTTGACTATTGAGTGGATGAGTGGGGAACCGGCACCCAAGGCTGTGCTTGAGCTCCTCTCCTGCCAGTGTAAGAGAGTCTGCCAGTCGCCAAGCTGTACCTGTCTCGCTAACGGATTGCATTGTACTGACATGTGTCGGTTACAGGCGTGTACAAACCAGCTTGAGGAAGCTACAGAGGATTTAACTACAGATGACTCTGATATTGAATGTGAAGATGATTGAGCTGTAGTACTCTAAAGATTCTCATGGTGCCTTGACATAATCTCTTAGTGTTGTAGGGTAGTGGACAAAGTTATTTGCAAAATACCAGACAGGAAAGTAAACATGGTCATTAGGCGTTGAGGTTTTTAGCAATGTTACCGCGTGTCACTAAATAAACGAAAGCTCAAGCACCAGTCTGCTGCTCTTGTAATATTTATTTCGATGGAAATGTGACTAAAACGTTGATTATATAACGCAAATATTCAATGTAAAGTGTACGTTGACACATTAAAGCAAGTATCTGACGAGGTTTCCTGAGGGAGTTCAACATTCCTACGTATGAAAACACTTTTAGCCAACGTGATTGTTGCTATGGCAACCAAGGTATATTAATTCTGGTTAATTTTCTTCATCAAATGTTATCATAATGTAATTTTGCATTTAAATCAACAGTAGAGCACAAAATATGCATCAAACCACTCTGTTCTCACCAACCACTTTTACATAGTTAGCTCATACGTATTTTGTGTCAGTGATTACGTCAGTTAATCACGTGATTTTGATATTTAAGCTGGCCATATATCATTGCTATCATATATCAAACTAAAGTATAGGAATTGAGGATTAAGAAAATGTGTGATAGCACTGCTCCCTTTAAGTGGTAAGAAATTTCAAATTTTTAGGTCTTGGCCCATGGACTATGGGCGGATTCGAAAAGAACGTTTTCTGGGTAACGCGATTTGACTGCATTTGGTATGAGAAAGTACTTAGAGTAAACGCTTACTTCTCTACTTGAATTATATGGAGGAATTGTGGCAGCTGGCGAAAAATTGCATGTCTTTTTCGTCGTCGGAGCAGTGGGCACCCCGGCTGCCTGTGTTCTGCCTTGTCCTTTTCTTTGGATAGACTTGCCTTTTTAATTCACGACTAAAACGTGTTACACGGCATGTTCTAATCAGGACACGGTTTCCTTTTCAAGTTCTTTTGAGACGAGATCTGTTGAGTCATAAAAGGTTCTATCTGAAATACCGTTTGGCAAGGAAAGAAACTGACTGTTGATTGCCTTTCAACCGGCTCTCTCCGATTGACTACACAACTGAAATTTACGTGGTTTGTGTAGAATACTAAAAAAGCTTCCTTAGATTGATTATTAGGTTGTTACTTCTTTATCAGTTCTCCGGCTGTTGGTGGTCGTTGGTTTTGATATTCAATAATAAATCAATATGACTTGCTGGAAACATTCCAGTACAAAGCAGTGCAAACAATACGTTTGCTACTAAAAGACGTCGGGTAGCTTGGCTGGCAGTACTCATGGTCTTGATTACGTACTGTCGTTGGGCAGCTGAAAAGAGTTAATACATTGGAACTGAGAAAAGAACTTGATAATTTCTTGTTCTACAGTATGTTGTTTTGTTAAGGACTGGGAATTGTCAGTGTATTTTTAGTTTCAGCTGCAGTTTTTTTTTTCACTGCATTGACCTGACGTTCTATTTAATGTCGAAAGTACAATATTGAATTGACTCTCCATTGTACTTTGTTCACTCGATGTGCATGTGGAAATTTTGTTTCAAAAGTACATAGTGCAAAAGTTATATTTTGTTATCATTCCTTTTTTTCTTGGCGCAACCATTTTGTGACATATCGGACGCAAACTATGTTATGCACTGTAGCTGCACTCTTGACTTGCTCTTTCTTTGCTATTTAGCGGCGTCGAAATTATCGAAAGTTTATGTTTACTTTGTAAGATAACAAGTTCGTGACGCGCTAATGTGGTTTTCACGAGATAAGAAATAAATTTGTTTACTTTAGTGCTCTTTTAATAACAAAATTGCTCTCTTTTCAGGAGAAATCTTTCCCATATAGATAGTCTAGTTATGTTCCGGAAGAGCTTATAGCTATAGCTACCTTTTAAGATCTATTTCTCGTCCGAGTGAAGGTGAACCATGCTTAGTTTACCATATTTGGCGAAAACTGATGCACAAAATTCAGTGGTTGCTCTGTCTAATTTTTTGCCAAGTTTTGATCGTACGATCCTTTTCTAAACTTGTAGTGCTGCCGTTAGAGGGGCCGGACATACTCCTGACCATTTTTTTTTTATATCTATCTGAACAACAGTGCTTTGTCTGTTTTATTTCGTATTTTCATGTTTGTATTTTTTAACAACTCTCTGAACCTTACTATCAAAACCGGCTTATGGAGCTAATGAGGAGAATTACTCAAGACGTTGTCTTTGCTTGATATCGCCTTCTTTATTCTCATGATCTTTGTGTTTGATTTAGTTGTGATGTAATTGGGAGAAATATGAAAAGTGTCACTATTGGGACTATATCAATGTCGATGTAATCAAGGCTAACTTTTTCTCCCGGATACACAGGTCAAGCTCTCCCTCTGTATTTTCACTGCTTTTGCTTGGCTTTTCCGTTGAATTTTACTTTTTCGGACGTGGTAAAAAGTGAAAAGTTAATTAGAAGTTTGGAAAGCCTTTCATGCGGGATTAAATGCTGCGCCCTTTGCGACGCCCACCATTATTGTTATTAACTGATTCAAGCTCTTCACCACATGGCAGCTGGACTTTCAGCAGTGAAAGGAAACTGTACGTTCGTTGGGGACCGATTCTTTAAGCTATTTTACAAAAGTACAATAAGCATTTAATTGGCGATCTACAAGTTTTATTTTTGCCGCCGTTCATGGGAGGGACCATGGTAATCTCTTGTGGCTTTGACTGTGGTGGACAGCTAACCGCCAAAAATATTAAGGAAGGAAATATTTCCTCTCTTTTAAAGTCCATTATATTACCGTTAATGAGGCTAATTTTCTTCAGGGTGGGAAGACCATAATGAAATCATTAAACTTGTTGTAGTTCCTGATTAACATGGAGGTGTACTACATAAAATATAAGGAATAAAATAAGTTACTCGTCAAGCGGAAGTTTCGCTCACTTATTCTCAAACATCACTGAAGCGTCCTAACATGCAGTTATTATACACAGCGCTTGCTTTTAACTCAGCAGTGTACAGAATTACTTTTCGGCGTCAAATGCACTCCAAACTGCGTTTCCTATCCGGAAATAATTACACATGCAGAGATGTCGTGATAAATTGTTGGCGTTTCGTGACCTCCCTCCCTTATTAATGTGGAACTCTATTCTTCTAATTCTAATGTTAATTTGCTAAAAGGTAAATCTATTCATGTTTTGATCAGTTTTTCCAATAAATAAATTTGTCATTTTTGAACAATGTCCTCTTCTCTTGTCTCCGTTCAGTTAAGGAGAATCGTTTTATTAACACGATTGCATTCCGCTGCTGCTGTTATTAAATAAAATGTGGAATTCTGGATAAGATCCTTGAATGAAACCATGTAAAGCCCTTACAGTATCTCCTTACAAATAGCGTACTATTAATTTTTTAAAATGATCAGGAGATCCCAGTGTTATTGGAAAGATCAACGACCATTTTCCCCCAATACTGAACTTTTTTGTGTAACTATTTACAATATATCTACTGATAAATATTTATTTTTGTGGCGTTTTAGTATTAGTTGCATATGGTACCACTGTTTTTACTTTTCCTTTAATTTCGCATTGATATAGTGTGCAGGGCTCTATTATAGAAACTTGATGGTTCTTACACCTTTTGGTGTTTTATGGTTTCAGCATGCAGTAAAGATCCAATTTTAATGGTTTTAAAATAGATGCTTTAAAACCCCAAGTTAACGAAAAAAAAAAATTGCAAGGTTACCGGGTTAGAATCCGCACTTCCTTTTATAAGAATTTCGTTTTAAAATTGCGGCTTTGGGCACGAAAGGTAATGGACTTCTGAGAAACGCGTCCCCAGACCCTAAATTCCTTGTCTTTTCTGACAAGCCTTCTCTATTTCCAAGTTGGAGGCAATAGTTTAAATGATATAATTTTTTTGACACCGTTCGCAGCTCTTAAACCTTCTTAATCTTAAAGTCAGTTACGGACAGAGCTAAGACATGAAGTGTAGTTTGAAGTCGAAATCCCATGGTGCACATTTGATCTCTATATTAAACCTCTTCACCAGTTTAAACTACTTTGTACGTAGCTAAATTTTAGATTCAGCTGTAGATTGTTTCTTGAACTGGCAATTTTGGCACTCTTGAGTGTTAAGGGGTTAAATTATTATTGCTCTGATGCCACCGTAGTTTAAATATCTTTATAAAGGATTCCCGGAATTCCCGATTGAAAAATGAGTACAAGATGGGATTGAGCGCTGAGTTGAGGTAGGCCAGCACTAGAAGTGCCTGGAAGACTGCCACATTGCCGACCATGATACACTCTCTACAGAGGGAACCAACAGTAGACAATAAAGTTATTGGCATCCAGCATACAAGAAATGTTGACACTAAAATGGCGATGGTCTTCGCAGCCTTGATGTTTCGCTTGGTCCTTTTCTTTTCGTTGGTCATGTTTGCAGAATCCTCGTTGGACACACAAGACGGCACTGGTTCAGGGACTTCGTTTGCCAAACGATGGGCATGCGCATTGGCAATCAGGTAGATCTTGAAATAGATCACACACATCACAACTGTTGGGAAAATAAAATTTACCGCAGAACTTGTCACGGAAAAATAAGGATGTATGTTGAAGAAACACATGCCATTTATCACGCTGTGATCATAGAAAGGCCACCCCACCATTCCAACTGTTGTAAAGACGAAAGAATAAAGCCAGATTATTGCTATGAAAGTCAAGGCTCTTTTTGGTCTCATCTTGTCGTAGTACTGCAGTGGGGCGCTGATAGCTCGATATCTGTCGATGCTGACCGCCATTAGGTTCAGTATGGAAGTTGGGGCTGCTATCAGGTACATGAAGGCCCAGAAATTGCACGTGAACTCACCATTATTCCACCCGAATGGGTGTATGAGAGCTTGCACATCAAATGGCATTGAAAAGCAAGCTGTCATGAGATCAGAGATCGCCAGAGAAACTATGAAGTAGTTGGTCACTTTGCGAAGGCGTTGATTGAATGAAATAGCGAGGCAGACAAGCAGGTTTCCACAGATCGCGGCGAAGATTATGATTATAATAAGAGAAACAGTGACAGTAAGGAAAATTTTATCAAAAACGCTACTACCATCCCTTGTCAATGATGTCTCATTGTTTGAAGTGGTGTTTGAGTTTCCCTCCATTATTTTCAAGAGGTGATTTTGCCGCCTCGGAACGCGTAGCCTTTCCTAACGTTTTGCCTGGCCTCAAATCATGATCACTCACGCTAAGAGGTACGTTTTGCTTTATCAACCGACGTCCCTAGTGTACCAAAATACCAAGCGCGTTTGAGGGAGTTTTATCTCCAAATGTCTTCTGCGTGTTCACAACACAGTGATGATAGGCCCGGTGTGTTGACGGTACTTTCGTTTACTTTAATACAAAGCGGCCTTTTGCTCCGTGCAAGAACTTTTCAAATGTTAATAACGGAATTTAAACCTGTGTAAACAGTCCTTCCGATCAGTTGCGTGTCTCTGGTTATTAAATTAGTTGTTTGATGTAGATTGACATCTTCATATCGATGTCGGTAATCATGCACGTGAAGAGTTTGTTTCGACTTCCTATTTCCACGAGTTTCTTTATGACACTGAGCAGTGTTTTCCCGAGCAGCTGTATGCTCGTCTTTCTATACCGCCTTCCGTATCAGCTCAGGCAAATTTGTGTCTGCTTATGTTTGTGGCGGCGGAAAATTGGAGCGCCTCCTCAGGATAACTAAAAAAATAAAAATAAAAATGCCACCATTATTAGCTTTTTCCGTTGATGAGTGATGTGCTAGAGAGTAATTTGGCACATAAGGCTCTTTTTCACAAGTTTCCTTGCAAGACGGAATCTCCGCTCTTACCACAACAAAACTGTTTAAACTCACTGCAAGTGGTAAATAATTCAGCTGTGTTTGAAATGGAACCTTTGATTAGCTTAAGTGGATTTGACACCATTGATATGAGGTGACGTGTTTGTATCAATGACACGAAACCGTGAAATAATGGGGTAGTTATTTAACGATTATTATGTGACTGAAACAATCAGTTAGGATTGCATTTTGCTAAATTTTCAAGTTTTTCACTGCTCTGTCGGAAAGATCGATATAACAAGGCTGTGGCCTCATCAGTGTGTAAGGGAAGTAACAATTTAACAAAAAAATGCCATATTATAACGTGAGATGAGCTCTACTCTTTTGACGCTGACGTAGTAGCCCTCATGAGACTTATAGAGTAATAGGTTCTGAATCAAATGGAATTAGCAGCAATTTATCTGAAGATCACACCCGATGAACTCTAACCCTGGTTAACTATGGCATGATTATGGGGCGCCAAATGTAAAAATATTATTAGGCAATATTTTTCTAATTTTTGTGCGATTAAATAGCACAGGATTGTCTTGCGATTTGTAAATAACGCTTTCCAGATTTGTGGTATGTTAATCACAGATATCTAACTTTTCCCTGCTTACGAATTTGTAAATTGCAAGATTTCTATCTTTGCAATTTATAAATCGGAAGATACTTTAAGATGCTTTACTGTGTGATTTATAAATGACAAGATTTCCAACTTTGAAATTTTTAAATCGCAAGATAATATTTTTAGTTTACTTTGCGATTTTTGAATCGCAAGATCAGGGGCACCCAACGACAATTTTCGGAAAAATATCTGTTCGGAAGACGATTTGAGATCTAGAATTTTCGGAACATTTGTTGTAAAATTTCTTGCTTGCCTGCCTCTCCTAAGATTTTCGAACATCTAAGAAATGGTAAAATTGCCTATTTTCAACGGATTTTTACCCTAAAAAGGTCAGCTAGAATTTTCGGGAGCCTTTTTTCTGGCTGAAATTTTCGAACAGGTAAGTTTTGATCCCTATAATTTTCGGATCACTAGACTTTCAGCTAGGAAATCCGAACAGATGAAAAATTTATAGGGGATAAAAATATGCCCATATCCACCCTTTAAATACTAAAATACGTTTAACAATGCTATGTTTAAGTGGTTTTGAACTATATTCTCGTTGGGTGCCCCTGCAAGATGTCGGACTTTGTGAATTATGAATCGCAAATGTCCAACTCTGTGTTTTCTGTTTATCAATCTCGAATGTGCGATTTATAAAGCTCAGATGTGAATGATGTGAATGTGCGATTAAAGCCGCAAGCCGAGGAAACTTGTTACAGCGGGCTCGTACTCTAATAAAAATTTAGCGAGAAAGTCATTCTTGTTTTTAACAGTGCCGGGACGGATCTTGCAAGAAGGCTCTCATCAGCCATTTCAAAAGCTATATCTGAGGCCCTCAATGCTGATTTAAATCAGGTATAGATGGTTCTCATATTTTTACCTACCAAATTTGAAAGTTTAACGAATTTATCTTTTTATTGCCTTAAAAAACGTTCGGCCTGCTTCCGTGATTCAATAATTGCACCGTGGTCGTATTCGATTTGCAGAGCTCCAGTGATTAGCGCCTCGCGTCTGATGCACGGATGCACGTTTCTCCCCGTATGAGACATTGTTTCGCAAGACATTGTTTAAGCCCAAGGATGAATAAAAGGCATTGATTCCTTAAAGATTTAAGATATGCTGCATGGAAAAAATTGAGTAGCCTGCTGGCAAGCTCTCCATATATGGTAAGCGAAAACGAGCCCCAAGCTCATTGTCACTTTTGGAAATGTGCGAAACAATAGCGTGACGTCACAGCGTGGCGGGTTACAAATATCCTCGGGCGGATTCGAATTGGCGTGGAAATCTGTTGTGTTTCGCGTTTTTTCAGCAGTCTTTGCACGCCTTTAAGTAACACAACAACAAAGAAGAAATGGTAGAAGACTTGTACATAAGATGACAAACAATGGTTTTAAAATGATTTAGNACAGCGGGCTCGTACTCTAATAAAAATTTAGCGAGAAAGTCATTCTTGTTTTTAACAGTGCCGGGACGGATCTTGCAAGAAGGCTCTCATCAGCCATTTCAAAAGCTATATCTGAGGCCCTCAATGCTGATCTAAATCAGGTATAAATGGTTCTCATATTTTCACCTACCAAATTTGAAAGTTTAACGAATTGATCTTTTTATTGCCTTAAAAAAAGTTCGGCCCGCTTCCGTGATTCAATAATTGCACCGTGGTCGTATTCGATTTGCAGAGCTCCAGTGATTAGCGCTTCGCGTTTGATGCACGAATGCACGTTTCATTCACCACGCTGAAAAATATTTATTCATTACCCGAGTCTAAATTCTTTCTTTCTTTAGTTTCTTAGTTTCTCTTCAGGAAGCCTCCCCGTATGAGACATTGTTTCGCAAGACATTGTTTAAGCCCAAGGATGAATAAAAGGCATTAAAGATTTAAGATATACTGCATGGAAAAAATTGAGTAGCCTGCTGGCAAGCTCTCCATATATGGTAAGCGAAAACGAGCCCCAAGCTCATTGCCACTTTTGGAAATGTGCGAAACAATAGCGTGACGTCACAGCGTGGCGGGTTACAAATATCCTCGGGCGGATTCGAATTGGCGTGGAAATCTGTTGTGTTTCGCGTTTTTTCGGCAGTCTTTGCACGCCTTTAAGTAACACAACAACAAAGAAGAAATGGTAGAAGACTTGTGAATAAGATGACAAACAATGGTTTTAAAATGATTTAGAAAGCGAGATTTTTCTTTTGATGCACGTGTCAGTTTTGCTTGTTATTACAACGGATGAATCATCTTCACTTTGGAATGTCTCTCGTGAAAGTCTTGAAAAAATTACTCAGGCATTCTCGAGATATTCTAGTTGTTTCATGGGAAACGTCGAGATGGGCCGTACTTCTGGTAGACGAAAGGTAGACAGGCCGCGAGATTTTTGTGAAGCAAAAAATGTAATCATCTCTGGCGTCTCCAAAAAGGTTACTGGCTCCATTGCAATCGACTTATCCAAAGCCTTTGATTCCATATGTCATAATTTGCTTCTTGCCTAGCTACGTGCTTATGGCGTTGGTGAGGAGGCAATTGACTTCTTGTATTCGTACTTGTCTGGTCAAAAGCAAAGAGTGAAGGTCAACGGAGTTTTCTTGGATTGGCTACCGGTGTATTGTGGCGTTCCTCAAGGCAGCGTCCTGGGGCCACTCCTGTTTAATGTATTTATCAACGATCTGAATTTTTCTGTTCAACTCTCTTCCCTGAGGCTCTATGCTGATGATACTACCGCCTATGCATCCAATACAGACATTTCAGCATTGGAACTGTCTCTCAATAAAGATCTTGAGAATCTCTCTTCCTGGTTTGCTGCAAATTATTTGTCCGTCAACAGCACTCTCATGCACCTGCTCTTCATATTGGCGACTCGGTTATCGAAATAAGTGGCTTCCTGAATATTCTTGGTTTTCGTATAGACGATACGTTGTCCTTTGAAGACCACCTATCAACTGTTTTAAGGAAGATCTATGCCAACGTGGAAGCTCTGAGACGACTTGGAAAGCTGGTGCCTGCTGATATCTCACTTATGCTGTACAAGGCTTATATACTTCCACACATTGAATATTGTAGTCCATTACCATTAGGGATTAACAAAACTTTGAACAAGAAACTTGAATCTGCGAACTATTATGCTTTAATTAAAAGCCCTCTTAAATTTCGGAAACAGCTTAGATTATGGGTCCATATTGTCTGCTGTAAACATGCAATCACCGGAACATAGACGGTACTGTCAATCTCTTGTCCTCCTTGTTAAATGTATAAAAGGAAATGGGCCTGACTATATTTCTGATTTATTCGAACCTCGTTTATTGCGCTACAATTTCGGGAACAGCGATCATAATCTCACTCAACCATCCTAGAATAATCGTGATTATCACAATTCTTTCACTTACAAGGCTTCGCATTTGTGGAATCAACTTCCTTCTTACATTAAGAGATCGACTGTGTTGCGTGAGTTTCATAAGCATTTAAGATCTTTTAATCTTACAATCTTAAGAGCCAGTTGTAAATGTAATTTTTGTAAATCTTAGGGTTTTACTTTATCTGTCTTTTTTACCCTTAGAATTTTAAACTTTATCTTACGGTTTTTAGTTTTTAATTAATTCAGTGGGATTCGGGTGGGTGTAGCTTTGTGCATTCACGGATATATTATTGTTATTTGTTTTCATACATTTATGATCTTTTAAATTATTTTGCATTCAAATGCATGGTATCTTTATTG